CAGGTTCAAGCCCCACTGCAGTCAGCATGTCGTTGTGTCCCTGAGACACTTCACCCCAAATTGCTCCTGTGGGGATTGCCCACGTATTGAGTATGTAAGTCCCTTTGGATAAAAGCGTCTAACATGTAATAACTGTTCCATGAAAGCTCCTCTTCCATAGGACTATCCGTATGGTTCTCTTTTCAGTTTTGTCACCCATACCCAAGATTAATCATACCATTCCTCTACATTACCTTTCATCTGTGTTAACTTTAGACACTTTATTTATTATCCGTTCTTCTCTTATGATTTCAGCTTCCTAACCATGTGTTCCCCTCTGTGTCAGCACCAGCACATTTTCTTTGTGTGTTGCTGCTTTTAACTCTTCGTCCTTGGCTGTTGAGAATCAGCATCTCACCCTCGTCTCTTGCCTTTGCTGCAGGCCCTGTGGTGCTTTATGTGTTTTCATGGCAGTATAACTCACTGCAGTGTGTGTGTGTGTGTGTGTGTGTGTGTGTGTGTGTGTGTGTGTGTGTGTGTGTGTGTGTGTGTGTACAGAATGCCACAGTGACACAGCAGAGAGAGATGCTGATGTATAATCGCCAGTCCTCCACCAGGGCGTTTCAAACCCTCCATGGAGCACTTGGTCTTTGTCTGTCTAATGGATGAGCCGGGGCGAGGGGACACACAGTTTAAGGGAGTGTGTAATTGGCGGCTGTTGTGTGTCCCCTAACACACAAAAGGTACGACATAAAGGATTTTGAAATAAAGCGTCAAATATCCCTCTGCACCTGATGTGTTTTGGTGAATCGCCTTTGTCACACTGAATGGCAAGATTTGTTTAAATGCTTTATCAATGATACACGCAGAGTGAGGGGACTATAATTCACAGGGAGGGGAAAAACTGGCCTGCTTTCATTTATTGAAAATTAACTTCCCTTAATTTCCCCACAGGATGATTCATACTATAATCTGCAAGAAAGCATTAGTGCAAGTTCAGTTATTGCGGCCATTTTGTACCCATGATGGCAGTCCAGAGAGCTCTTCTGTTATTCCTGTGACACACAGTGAGTGCTGCAAAGGATCAAAGGGAAAAGCAACAGCCTGTGTCTTCATCTGAGTCTGGATCCACGTTCAGAGCTTTCTGAGGAGTATTTCCTTGTTCCTTTTTTGTTCATATAATGAACTTTTCCTGCATTCTTAGAGAAGCTTTGCATTAATTCGTTTTCACTTCCTAATCAGCCGTCAAAGAAACTGAGATGTCCATTGTCATTATATTTCCTTGCTGACGATAGCAATGCCTCACTAGAGCATCTGTTGACTCTTCTTTGCCTAAAAAGATCACCTTTATTTGAAAAACTACCCAGAAAACCATCTGTACTTTTAGAAAAAAAGTTGATATCTTTTGGATACACGCTGAAATATACTGACTCATTTTCTCCACTTGTGCCAAGAGGTTTTGGGACTCAATTATAGAATGAAATGGTTTGAAAAGAGGGGAGGTTTTCCCCGGTGCCTCCTCATCCCGCTGTTAAGGAGGGGTGGAGGCTTTGTACATCTGAGAGGCTGGAGGGCGCATTTGAATTCAGGCTGTGTGTCTCCTGCGCTAGCCGAATGTTACCTGCTCCAGCATGGCAACAGAGAGAGAGAGCGGTGAGCTTCAGCTGCAGCCTCCACACACACACACACACACACACACACACATCATTCACGGTCACAGCAGGAGTGCAAAGAGTGACTCAGGTAAGCAGGAACGGTCCTGATGAGAGAGGGAAGCAGCGTGCCGGAGTGAGAGATACTGAAGGAGGAGCTATAGAGCTGGAATTTTTGAGGAGGGGAGACGAGGGGAATCGCACAGAAACCGAAAATCCAGACTCCCAGGGAGGGATAGACAGGGAGGCAGACGAGACGGCTGTGGAGTGTGGCTGCAGCTGTGATTGGATACATCTGACAGACTACAGAGCACTGAGAGAGACACACACATAGAGAAGAAGATGACATTTAGTTTCTGAAGCGAGTCTATTCAGGGGGCTTAAGCCGGGGGAGGTGGAAGGGAGGTTTTTTCTGACAGGGTAAGTCAAAAACAGAGAGGTGTGAGGTTTGGTTTCGGGAGGGTAGATAAACACAGGATGACAGCTGAACCACCTTTCCTTCTGAGTTGAGCTGAGGACACACACACAAGGAGACAAACTAACACTTCTCATCAGACTGGCGCACGGGACACGACTTCACCTGAACCTGAACTCATCTGAGAACATAACTTACGAGAGAGGGACCCCCTGGAGGACTCAAAATAGTCTATATGTTTTTGCGGGAACTCCCTGAAGAGGTGGCGATCAGGAGCATCACCTGTGCCATGAGGACCTTGTTTGTGAGCCCGGCCTGAGACCACCGCCCACCCCGGCCTGCCCCCTCCTCTACTGGATGTCTTGATGTATTGCTGTGGGCTTGGACACTGGCGGAGTGTGCAGTCCACCTATGTGAGTGACCATCGCAGCGCCTCCATGCAGCATCCACATGTTTTTCTTTTATCCCATAGCAACAGGGAAGTATTGAGTAAGAGAGGGGAGGGGATGCATCTTTACAATACACACGATTATTGCATTTGATATACTGCTGAATGTGTAGTCACTGCATTACAATGCCGGTGATATTTATATCCATCTGTAAGCCGATAGAAATGTGACTCTGGCAACCTGTTCACTCCTCTGTGCGAGTTTTCAGCCGCCCTGCAGTTTATCAGGACAGACAGTGTCATTGTCAAACAGCTCGCAGTATCGATCCAGTGCAGGACTTCATGAAAACATGACCTACAAAGCCAATAACCCCGTACAGGATGGTTTGTTTGAGGCAACAGTTTGATTTCAACACCATGCAATAACAACCAAAGTCAAGGTGATTTAGGAAAAGCTGCTGTCCTCACTTCACACGGTGACCTGTCTGAAGGAGCAGGGGAGGACAGACAGGTGCAGCTATGGCATCACAAGACAGCTTTTAATGTCCTCTCAATGACAGAAGGGAGCGAAGAGTCTCCTCCACCTGTTTCTCTTTATTTCTTCTCATCCTTCCACTAACTCCCATCCTTTCCTCTCTGTTTGCTGCTTCGTCGCTGTAGTTATTGTCGCTCATGCGTCTATGCACAACCTCTGTTAAGTCCTGTTGCAGCTGATACTATAGAGTGTCAGAGCTGTGCATTGTGGGATGGCGCTGACTGCGGTGGAAAGTATCGCAACCACAGTCCTACATGAAACAGGCTTACTGTCAGCACTCAGCACTGAATAGGCTGTCAGGGCAAAGCCTCGCAGATTACCCACACTGCTCTGCTGCATTCAGTGTGTGCCCACCTCAGCAACCAGCCAGGAGAAAGAAACATACACAATCAAAAAGCCATCCACCGCAAAAAACAGAGACATATCAAGATGTGATGACAGCAGTTAGGAAGGTGTCTGTCGTTTAGCAAATGAAAAAAAGGGACGCTGTTGGTATAAATGCATATTTAAAGGAAGTATAAAAAAAAAAAGTGTTGTTTAGAAGCACCCAGGCTTGAAATGTGCTTCTGTGGTGCAAGCATATTACTCATCTGTTATATTCACACCATTTGTTGACCTACAATAAGCAATCTTAAATGAAGTAATTACAAAGATGGTTCAGTGTAAGCTACAACTTGGTGTAGGACAGTTCCCAATGTTGGTTAAAATGACTCACTTGATCGTGAATTAACAAAATATATATACTCTACTACACAGTGTGTTAGTTTGGTTTCCAGATTCCCCCCCAATCTTTGCTGCTTTGCTATGAAGTAATAGTTTTCATTCATCATGCTTTTAGACACTATTCGAAACAAAGTGTCCCTCCAGGTTTGGCCTTTTCTGGCAGAGATCACAGCTCGATTACTTCAAGTGCTTGCCTGGCTCTAGGAAGGATCTTAAGA